CTCTTCCGATCTGTATAATTAGCAGAATTAGTATAGTAGATAGATGGAACAGGATAGAGGAACAAAGCTGAATCTGGGACTGATGTCCAGATCAGGCTTTAAGAGAAAGATGCTATGTAGATATTACTTGGTAAATAAAATTTTTTACTTACCAAAAAAAATAGTATATTTTGTTATTTATTTAATTTCTATGTATTAATTATTAAAAAAATAACTTATTGTAGCATATAGTATACCAAAAATAATACATTACTAATAGTTGAAGTATATTATTGCAACATACTATGACACCCATAGTATATATCATATACTGACAGGGTATCATAGAGGACTAGTCATTTTTTCACCAAACAAAATACTCATCAGTCATCTATGATACCCACATGGTATATATCAAATACTAACATAGTATCATAGAGGTATGGTTCACTACTTTCATAAACATACTCAATCCTCTATGATACTCACATAGTATATATCATATATTGATGGGGTATCATAAAGGTCTGGTCCATTTCTCTCAGAAAGACACCCAGTCCTCTATGATACCAACCTGGTATATACCATATACTAACACAATATTACAGAGGATTGGTTCATTCTTTATAAAAAAATCATTAGTCCTCTATGATACTCGTATGATATATATCATATACTATCAAGGTATCATATAGTACTAGTTTATTTTTTCAGGAAAATTAGCAGTGTATTGTTATAATTAATGATATACTTTTGAATTAATTATTATATACCAACATAACATATAGTATAACATGTTGGTATACAATACAACTTTATCTTCTTTGCTAGTTCTATTTAATATTGGCCTAAATTTCAAAATCTACTCCGAAAATCTCCACCAAACTTACTCAAAATTTAGCCATAGCCTTCAATCAACATTTCGAACATGACTCGGTAAATATTTTATCAAAACAACTATAAAGTGAGATTTTTCCTATTATTTTCATGGAACTCCATCAAAAATTCATTTAAAAAAATATTTGCAAATACCTAGTCGAAAAAATCTAAAAAATTAAAAAAGATTTATTTATTACTGTATATTGTTATATTATATTGTATACTAAAATAATATAATGTTATTATTACTATGACTTTAGCTTTGCACAATAGCACCTAGATGATTCAACAAAATAGTAGTTGAAGTATACTATTATGGTATATTGTATACTATTACAACATACTGTTGCGGTATATTGCATATTATTACAATATACCGTCACAATATATTGTATACCATAATAATATACTGCTGCAGCATAGCTATATACTCCTACGGTATATTGTATAACGTAGAGGGATACTATTAGGTAATTGTGTTCTTCTTCGATTATTACAGTATACCGTTCCAGTATATTGTATACTATTGTAGTATAGCTATATACTCCTACAACATATTGTATACTGTAGCGGGATACTGTTGGGTAACTATGTTTTTGTCGATTTTCAGCTAAAAATTTCGATCTCAATCACCTCAAATCAACACCAAATGCAATCAAATTTCAGTATGAACTTCGAGAAGGTACTATAAGCAATATTTAATAACACCCACTTTGAATCAAACAAGAAATCTTAAATAAAAATTTTTTATTCAAGAGCTTCAAGCCCGACAATAGTGAATATTCAAATACGCATAAACATTCAGATCTGGGAAGCTTTCTCGAAGGTACTATAAGCAATATACACCCACTTCAAATCTAATATTAAAATCTTCAGGTTGAAAAATCATATATTTGGAATTTTGGAAAGACTTTAAAAAAATCCGTAAAATTTTAATTTCAGCAAAAAATACGAAATGCAAAATCCGAACAAGCATGAGATTTTGACAAAAAAGTGATGAGATTACATGGAAAAAAAGGGGTCAACTAGATTTCATAGTTTATTTAAAGAGAAAGCTCTAGGATTTTAACTTCAAAGGGTAAAGGGAATGTTTTCCACTAGATTAAGCTAGCACAGAGAAAACAAATCAAAAGGCAAAAGGGAATGGGTAGGTGGTAAAATGTTTCGGCCGAATAGGTAGGTTTTGTAAAAAACTTTCATATGGGTAATTACGGGTAATTATTTTGGATTGTGTGGGCATTTAGTATAAATTTCCCTTTTTTAATTGCAAAACCCGAACTAACCCGACCTATGTACACCCCTAAGTCCTAACTAATCCACGAGAGATGCAAGGCAAAGTAGCCAATAAAGTATTAGCAGCTGTTACACTTAATAATCCTAAAGATGAAGAAAAGGTCCTACATCTTCATGACACTCACGTTCTAAACCAGTCCCACAGTCCCTCTGAGGAACAAATTAAAGGTAACAAACTTGATAAAATGATTATATCAGAAAAGAAGGAAAAAAAGGTACACAGCATAACATAAAAAAGTTTGCCATGGCCCAATGTCTCATCATTCTGGTAGCTGGCTTAGTCATTGCAACAACAAAATATAGAGAGACCATACTTTAATTACTCCTATTACTTCTCCTTTTATTCTATTTGACGTGAAATACTTTCTTTTTTTAGTCTGTCTTAACAATGATTTTTTTTATTTATATTTAAAGATAATTTAACTTTAAATTTCTCTATTTATGGTAACTAAACTTTCTTTATTTGCCGAGTAAGAATTATGTATAAAACAAAACCCCTCAAAAAAGGCTCAAACATGGCTACAAAAAAATATTTATTGCATCTTTTAGATCACGATAAATTTCAAAAGTTTTTATTTCTTTGTCAAGTTCTGGATTCGATCAAACAAAGAAGTGCAGTCCGGTGCACTAAGCTCTCGCTATGCGCGAGCTAGGTCCAAGAAAGGATCGGACCACAAGGGTCTATTATACGCAGCATTACCCTGCATTTCTGCAAAAAGACTGTTTCTTCTATCAATCACCTTTACAAAAATTAATGAGACGGGGGGAGTATTTTTTTTTAGCACTCATTTCTTCTTCCAACTACCTCATGATTATTATCACATTCTTTTTTCTCTCTTATTATAAGTATCAATCCTTGAACTAATTTCATCACATTAGTTCAGACAAAAGATGGGTAGAACTGGAGCTAGAATGCCAAGTTTTTGCCTAAATAGAATTAGACCTCATGTTCAAATTCGTTCACCACCTATACAAGCCAAAAACAATGAGAATTTAGCTAAGAAAGTTGAATGTGATGATCATGAAGAGAAAAAGGATACTTCATCAGCCATGGCTGAGGAAAAAAACACTGGTGATATCGCGAAATCGACACCGATAATTGGCCGGAAAATCATGATTGTGATTGATTCTAACCTTGAATCCAAGAATGCATTGCAATGGGCATTAACTCATACTGTTCAGAGCCATGACTTACTTGTTCTTCTCTATTTTACTAAGTCTTCTTCTAAACAAGGTTTAGTACTCTTTTGCCTTTTTACCCTTCTAGTTTTTTTGTTTTTTTTTTAAAATAATTTTGTAGTAACTTTTTCATATATGGAGCTTTTTTTTTTTGGTTTAATACATAAAGGGAAATTCTCATAGTTTTTTTTTTTTTTTTTTTTTTTTTTTTTTTTTTTACAGATGAAGATTCTAAAAAGGAAATAAATCCAAGAATTTTTGAGTTTCTTGCTTCTATGAAGAATACTTGCAAGCTGAAAAGACCTGAGGTGTGTCATCTCAATTTGCTGTTTTAAATAGAAATTATGCTTTTAATCAGATAATATTCTTATCATCAATTTCTTCTTATTGTTTCTATTCTTTATTTATTTTGTTTTAGAATTTAACTTCTGCATATTGATTTTTATACAATCAAGTCGCCTACAAATATTTAGGATCTAAGCTATATATATATGCAGGAATAGTGTAATTTATTTTTGCATAATGAGCGTAACTTAACATGTTCTAACAAGTTACTTAGTAGTATCATTTATTATAAGTTATAAATAAATATTAATTTTTCCTCTATATATATATGTGTGTGTGTAATTATCTTTTAGTTAGTATTACCTGAGTGGGAAATATTTTTCACATGAAACTTAAAGTCGGTAGCTGCCGCGATAAACAAAACTTGTTAGCTAAAAACTAAATTAGGCAATAACAAGTTAAATTACACTAATAACATAAATAAATTTTACGTGATCATTTCATTGTACATATATTATTTTTTTATTTATTTTAACCTTGTATGTTGAACAGGTTCAAGTGGAAGCGGCAGTGGCACAAGGGAAAGAGAAAGGTCCAGTAATAGTAGAAGAGGCCAAGAAACAAGAAGTGTCACTTCTGGTCTTAGCCCAGAAGAAAAAGTCCATGACATGGCGGTTGATTATGATGTGGGCCGGCGGTCGGCTGACGGTTGGTGGTGGCAGCAGCGGCGGCGGTGGGGTGGTGGAGTACTGTATTCAGAATGCTAGTTGCATGGCAATTGCAGTGAGGAGAAAAAGCAAGAAACTTGGAGGATACTTAATTACCACCAAAAGACAAAAAGATTTTTGGCTTTTGGCTTAATTATAAAATTTACATAGTGTGCTTCTTGTAAATTTATAATTACAGTAACTTATATGGATTGGAAAGTGAAATGGAAAGTTATTAGTGAGTCAAAGATTATTATTGGGCAATGTTGTCTGTCAAATTAACTCTAATCTTTTTTCTGTTGAAGCTTTAGATATGCCAGCAGTAATGAGTTCTCAAAAAAAAAAAAAAAAAGATTTTACAAGTTCAAAATTGTAAAATGAGAAGCAAAAGAGAGATCAAAATTGCTTAACGGATTTTGACATTATATGTGGATCCAAAATTTGAACTTGGTGCGATTGAAAATAGTCTTGATGTAACCGGTAAAGTTGTTCTCATGCGATCAGAAGGTCACGGGTTCGAGCTGTGAAAACAACTTCCTGCAGAAAGGCAGTCTAAGACTACATATAATAGACCATTGTGGTCCGGCCCTTTCCCCAAGCCCTGCACCGGGCTATATCCTTTTTGTGTGTTCGGGTTTGAAAGTCTTTCTCATTCCATCTAATTTTGTTCTAGATCTGTATTTGTAAACGAGTTTTTTAATAGTTATTGAATTCAAGTGAACTCATAGCTTACTCACTAGCATAGGTGGATCTAGAGCATGAAGACTGGGTTCACCAGAAACCAGTAGCTTTTGTTCATACCTTGTATATATACTAAGAAATTCATTAAATATTTATAAATATCATATTGTGAACCCATCAACTATTGAGTATTAACTTAAAATCGTTGTAGGAACCCATTAGCTTTAAATCCTGAATCCGCCTATACTCACTAGATCCACCCCTATTTGATATGACACGTTTATTATAAAAACTTAACCTAATATGTTGAAAGATTGTATGGATAATATATAACTACACATCGTTGGAATTCAGTGCTCAGTCTACACTATTGATTATTATAACTTCTAATAAACTAATTACTATTCTTATTATAATTTATGACTCTCAAGGTTAAATTGTTTAATTTAAGATAAACATGACTAATGCAGGTTAACTATTTCTTTTTAATCTCAATCACGCAAATAAATAAATAAATAACTGGCAAAGTACAAAGGGACCAAATGAAAGTGATCAGTAAAATGAAAGCACATGGCTACTAAGCTTTTTCAAGAGATGAGAACCCTAAAGTGTAGACATGTCGGACAGGTTAACTAACTCGATTTTAATTATTCTTCAGATCACTTTTATTAATTTGGAGCCTTGAAAATTACTCCACTTTTTAATATTAGTTCTTTCTTTGAAAGCAGACATAAATTGATTGAAAGCGACTATTTTAATATATAGTTTAGGCGAAATACATAAACCGCCCCTTTAAGTTGTCCTCAACGATCATCCAGACACCTCAATTGGCCCCTTTATCATTTAAACACTTCAAGTGACTGTTAAGTAAATCAAATAGACACCCGAGTGCAGCAAACCAGATGCGTGATTACACTTGCCAATGACGTGTCAAATGAGCCAATCAATGAACCACACGTGTAATTTGTAATTAAAACTTAAACACATATAATTAACAAAAAAAAAATGAATTTAACCCTTTCCCCTCACTTTTAACTAAAGCAGCGCCTTCCTCCTCTCCCCCCCCCCCCCCCTTCCTGCCTCCAACTTATCTTCTTCCTTCCGGACCATAACCAGCACCACCCCCATTCATCTTCTGCCTCTCTTCTGCGTCTACTTTCTCTTTTCCCAAATCCACCCTCCATCCAACTAATTAAACACAGCTCATCTCTTTTGCCAGAAAATTGACTTCCAAGGAAAGCTGAAAGAAATGATTCTACTGGACTTTTGAGGACAAGGAATCACTTATACTTGAGTATTTATAGGCTCAATTAGTCATCAGTTAGAACTTTGGAGTGGGTAAAAAAGTATTAATGTCCTTAATCTTTGGGGATTCGGTTCTCCAAGGGGTAGTTTTATTTGGGAGAAAAGAAGTCTAACGAAGTGATGACTGGTTGTGATGTTCTCAGCATCGTGGTGAAGATTTTTTTTTTTTTTTTGGTCTTGGAATGGTTTTTGTTTTATCTGATTCCCATATAATGTGACTATGTTTACCTGTTACATAAAGTTTCTCGTTTATGTTTTCAGTTTGGTCTAAATATGTTGGTTTTTAGTGATTTAAGGTAGCTTAGTTGAAGTTTTAGCGGCTGATTTTCATGGAATCTATGGTGGTTTCATGGTGGATTGCACTTGAAAGAAGATGAGAGGCTAAGATGGTATTTTATGTTTTTTCTTTAAAAAAAATTAGGCTGCAAAAATGTATCACGCGCTCAAAATTTGGTTAGCAATCACGCATATGCCACATCAACGACGTGTATTTACTTGATCTGCGTAATAGACACTTGAAGTGTCTAAATGATAAAGGGGCCAATAGGTATCTAGCTGATCGTTGAGGACAACTTAAAGGGGCTGTTTATGTATTTCGCCATGTTAAAGGTTTGATTCTCATCAGTTTCCCTTAGGGGGCATGCACATGAATTTTTGTAAGTGGTGTCGAAATTTATAGAAGAACGGGAATAATAACTTAAATTATCATGCATCTAGACAAGAAATAGCATTAGTCTGCTGGTTTTATTGAGTCTTAAATTAGAAAAAGTTCTGAATTCAATTCTATTTCATCAAAATTTTTACCAATAGAGGATCTCTCAAATATTTGCAAAAAAAAATTGCTAGTTGAGGTTCAACCCTATGATCTCTTAGAGAAATATCAAGAACACAACCAACACGTCAAGAGACAATTTAAGTGGTGTCATTTTTTTTCCTACTTATGCGTTTCCTTACCGTATTAATATATATATATATATATATATATATATATATATATATAGTATTTTCTGACGAAGCGTTGTCGCGTGACACCGACTCTTTAGACGTGCATCCGCCCCTGTCCCCTTATAAGGCATCTGTATAGGGTCAAACTTGACCCTCAGTATCTCTACGCCAGTGGGTACGCCCAATGAGTGTACGCCGACCAACGTAGCGGGTACGACTCGGCCGTGAGGACAAAAGCGATATCGTTTAGAACTCAGCGTCCACACTAGGGAGACGTTACCTATCTTTGTCACTTTTTGATTCTTTCGAGGAAGGTCTCCTATTATATAAAGGAGACCTCCACATTGTAAAAGGGGGATCCGATCTAAGACAACTCTCTCATTTTTCTGGCTTTCTCTCTCTATATCTCTTCTTCTAACGAAAATATCTTATTGGTAAACATTGTCACTCTGCAATATTAGATCTACAACAATATTATCATCTTTGCATCTCTAGGCTTATTATATTTGATTACGATTTACCCCTCTTCTATTTTTGATTGTTTTATCGCTTACAAAGTATATCGTAACTTTTGAGCCAAACAATTTGGTGCCGTCTGTGGAGATTTCGAGAATCAAAATCATAGTATCCACCTAGAGATCAACCAACTACCACTCTCTACACTACACAAAAACAGAAAATGGCAGAAAATAGCACAAGATCGAAAGCCATATTGGGTGTCACTACTAATCTCCTGGGCCCTCTCAACGAGGCCAGTGACGGTGGCATCCTGAATGCAACCCCTAGCATCACACCAGGTGCAGAGATCTCACCTTTCCCATCCGAAGGCCTGACGATCTGCACGAAAAAGGAACTTCCACATCTGCGGCTACGGAAGCACCCTCAGCGGTCAAAGAGCTACTGGAAAGATGGCTAACAAGCACTCTAAGTGGCTTGGTTGAGAGGTCACCGCAAAATAACATCGTCTGTACACCAACGGTAGGTACCACTGCTGCCGTGGGTGAACCGGAAGCTGCACTAGTAAATAACAGACCTATCGAGAAACAGACCAACGATGGCACGCTAACAGCCATCCTAAAAAAGATGGAAGAAATGGAAAATGAAAACAAGGCGCTCCGCGGTCAGATGAAGGAACATCAGGAGAGGGTCGACAAGATCCCCGGTGCTCCCAAGTTGCTACCAAAACGCGACGTGGGAAGGTTCATTGAACAAACATACACCGAAGAAGCTGCTCCTCACTCCACCCCAAAAACCTTCAAGATGCCACCCTACTTAAGGGTATATGACGGAACCACAGATCCCGAGGATCATCTGATCCACTACGTCACCGCTGTGAAGGGCAACGACCTATCGAAAGAAAAGGTACCGTCGGTACTGCTGAAGAAGTTTGGCGAGACGTTGACAAGAGGGGCCTTAACATGGTACTCTCAGCTACCGGCTAAGGCAATATCAACGTTCGAGGAAATGGCGGATAAATTCGTCACAGCCCATGCAGGCGCGAAGAAAGCGGAGGCCAGGGTCAACGACATCTTCGCTCAGGCAAACGCAGGAGAGGGACTCAGGGACTTCCTGGCAAGGTTTAACAGGGTAAGGATGAGTCTACCAAACGTATCGGAAGGTATGGCAGTCGCCGCTTTCCAGAACGGGCTAAGCAGGGATGGTTCGAGGGCAACCAAGAAGCTGTTGAGCCGCCTCATGAAATATCCCCCTACCACATGGGAGGAAATCCACAACGCCTATTGCGCCGAGGTACGAGCGGACGAGGATGATCTTAATGGGCCGACCCAACGGCTAACAGCGATACACTCAGAAACGAGGAGAGATCGACGGAACGAAGGACGACGAGAACAACTCCCCCGCTCCAACAGAGATCGACACCAGCCATACACCAGATCCTCCCATCCGCCACCAAGGCATACAGACGCACTACAGCGACACGTCGCCCCACTGCTAAACGAAAGAGGTACGCCCCCTTTATTAACTGCCCATAACTTTTGTGTATCTCCTTCAGAGATAGTGTACGCACTGGAGAAGCTAGGCACCAAGGTGCATTGGCCGCAGAAGATGAAATCAGACCCTGCCACAAGGAAATCAAACGCCCTATGTGAGTTCAATCAGGAACGAGGACACAAAACCAAAGACTGCATAGGCCTACGGAAAGAGGTGGTCAGGATGCTGAACCAGGGATACCTGAGGGAGCTACTCAGTGACAAAGGAAAAATCAACTTTGCACGCGGACGGGAACAACTCCACGGGCCGCCGAAGCCACCTTCCCCAGCGCACGATAAACATGATCGTTGGAGGCGGCGACGACTCAGCGATCAATCACGTCAAGCTCGCCACCACACACAGACTAAAGCGGACCATTGCCCATGAACGTGGAACGGACGTCCGGAGAA